GGAGGCAACCTTCTGAATGTGATCACTTCCATTCCATAGAGAGTAGGGCAGTGGTGTTCATGCCATTGTAGATGGCATAAATCCTCCACTCCTGTGCTCTACCTCCACACATTGATGTTGTACATCCATGTGCTCCAGCTTCTGTGTAGTCCTATAATATTGTGCATATATCACAATAGTATATTCCATGAATTTGAGTAGATCTGCCACATTGCAAATCACTCCTCTGATTGGGATCCTTTGTTCTACCATCAACTGGATGTAGGTTTCCAATGGATGGTTTTTGGAACAACCAACTTAAATCCTCACACAAGTTGGTCATGATTCCTCATCCTACATTGGTCCCAGTTTTTTGCCTCATGCACTCCACCTCTGTGCAGTGGGTCCCGGCGGTTGTTGTTGCACAGATCCAGTTTGATTTGCCCCAGCTCTGTGGTTGCTTGAGATGTCAGCTGGTCATCCATGTGCTTCAGTTTTTGTGTGGTCCTATCCAGTGGATGATGATGTGCAAGGCAAATGTTGTCCCTCGAGAGGTTCTCTATCAGAGGCAGAGGTTGCACAGAGTGGAATGGATCCAATTGGTTTTGGACTTGAAGTGAACTGCCACATTGGCATATCCCTTCCTACTGTTGTTTGGATGTCAGGTTCTCAGATGACTAGTGTTGGTTGTGGACTTGTGCACATGTGCCCTGTTTAGTAAAGTTGTATGAAAATGTTCTCCTTCTGTTCTACTCAACTTGAGGTGAAAATGGTGTGGACATCCTCCTACCATTGATTGGATTATGTGTGCCCTATGGTGCTTGGTTTTGGACTGGAGTTGACCTGCCGAGTATGATCTCTCACATCCTAGCCACTCTATGCCATGAGACACATTCAATCATTGGATGTGCTCCTCACAATTTTTGCCAGTTTATGTGACTGTTCTACCTAACTGGGTGAAGTATATATCTGGTACAGAAGTGGTGTGGTCCCCCACATGTGTACCTCTCTATGGGTGTTTTTAAGACACTTTTGAAGGATGCTTATCTATATTTCTGATAGGTATTTAAAACTGGGGCTTACTTTCTGCCTAATCTCATAGTGATGGTTAGTTAGAATCAAATAGAGAGAGTCACGTGCATCAGGAGAGTGTCACACTCCTATTGGTGGAGAGTTGTTGCATGATGATTTACATGTGAAGATGCAGTGAACCATGTTGATTAGGGGGTAGGTGGGAGTTTCAAGGTTTGTGGCATGCAAAAAAAATTTGCATATAGAGGACAGCACTGAACGAGAATAGCAATTATATGAAAGGAGCTAAGTGCCTATTGGAAATATATTTTCAGTGTAGGAAAATAATAGCTTTGGGCTTAACTAGTAAAAGTCCAGATTTAAATACAAGGTTAGATAAATTCCAATCGACTTGAAGGTCACTTACATATGTAGGTTGAAAAAGGATCATAAATGCTTGGTTACAACCATCATTCTGATCTAAAAACTATGGTTAGAGGCAGTGTAATCAAAGGATTATCATGGTCAAGCAACATTTCTGTGGGGTTCAAATGTGCTCATGCTCTACTCACCTGTAGAATATATATCCATAATGCCTGTGAATTTCTCAGTCCAAAGGCATCATGGGTCTCTGCTTGACTAATATATTTATAAACATATAGGATGCTGTTCTCTATTATCATCCCCATGAAAATGGTTAACATGCTTGTCCTTCATTCCAAATCTATTCCTTCCATTACCACCTGGTTGTTATATAAGCAGCATAAAAGGAATGGGGTCAGGATGATACCATGTGTTTTCAACTCCCTGGCCATTTGGTTTAACCTCAGAGAAATTTTTTTCCACACTGTTTTCCTCCATTTTCTGTATTTTTTTTAAAGTTCAGTTTGGACATGGAATGCCATTCAATCAAACACGTTTTAATTTTGCTTCTTACTAGCTCTGTCTGGGACCTCATCTGCTAACTGCCACTTAACCTAGTTTTGTGTAGAGAAGATGGCACATGACATCCAAAAAATAGAGAATTGTCTTTTCTGTCAGTGAATTGGGTAATGACCCAAAGTTTTATGAACCACAGCACAACTGGATGGAGGTCATGTGCAGAATAAGGTTTCTTGTGTGAACCTGACTTAAATTGTTATTGTATTTTACATTAAAAGCCAAGTTCTCTTTAGTTTAGCAGATTTTTCTCTAACTTAACTTTTAGTAGACATAGTTTTTTTGTTGAGATTCAGTATTTCTTTATTCAATGTTCTTTATTAAGATTTAAATTTTGCTGTGTTTTAGTTTATTTTTTATTAACTTTAGTATCTTTTGGTAGTTTTTCTTTTTTTATTTTAACCTTGAGTTTATTTTGTAACTTTGTTTTAGTTTAATTTACAGGGGATTTGGTGTGTGATGGGGGTGAGGTATACACTGGACTGGTGAAAGAGAGCTCACAAAGGTTTCACTTCCCTTCTCTTTCTCACTAGTTAACACACTCACCATGGAACCACTGGTCCATTTGTATTAGTAATTATAATAGTGTTTTTTTTTGTTATAAATAAAGATTATTCTTATTCACTCTCCATAGTTTGACTCTTTCTTCCTGATGAATTCAAGTTAGAGATTGGAGAAATAAACAAACATACACACTCCATAACTTAGTATTTCTCAAGCCTCCAGATAGTGGGGCTCTAACTGACTACTATTATTCTATTTCTCTATGTAATGTTGTAAACATCTCATTTCTGGAATGATGTTGCTGATGGCGAGAGCGTATGTGAAAATGTGTTAGGGATATTTTACTTTAGAAATGGATAAATATATGTATATTTAAAACTATACTTAAGTGTTTAAGTAAAATAAAGGTGACACCTGGAGACTGATTAAAAAAGATACGTTATGCTAATCAATTTATAAAAACAGGTATGAAAAATTGTCTTAAATAAATAGCAAGTTTTAGGAAATTCAGCATTCGCATTACATGAAAAAATAAGTAAAGAATAAAAATTATTTTTTTGACAGAGATGAAACCAGTGAATGTGGATCACTGATTCCAGGATCTAGATTAATTCCAAAAGGTTGAACAGGGTTTAGATTAGCAATCCAGTAAGCTTCTTTTATTTCTCTATCTGCTTTAGTTTTGAATCCAGTTTCAATGCCAATGAGAGTAACATCGTTAATGGAATGATTGGGTTGGTTAAAGTGTTGTTTAAAGGGCAACAGACAGATCTTTTTCAGTGTTAATAGAAGATTAATGGTTATTGAAACATTCTCTAAGAGTTGTTTGTGTATGTTCTACATATTGGTAATTGTATTTCTTACACTATATAAGGTAAATGATGTTTTATGTTTCACAAGTGATTTATTTAAATATTTTAAAGTTTTTTTTATTGCGCTGGTCAGAAAATGAGTCTGGGTTTTATCAGTGTACTTAATGAGAGCATCTTTCACTATTAAAGAAAGCTCTTGATCATCTTATTTCTCATTCCATTCAGCCAAAGGTTCAAATCTATAAGAAACTAGCACCTTAATGTTAAACAAGTCTGCTTTTATAGCCCTAATTTTTTACTGCTGTTGCAGCCTTGAAACCCCAGCAGTATTTCTTACCATTTTCCAAGTTAACCTGTACCCTAATTTTATACATTTCCTTTCACTAGGATGGGGTTATACCCGAGTATTGTGGGCTTGATAGCAACTTTGAGGAGGCACAGAACGATGCAGTACACCATACTTGTAGAGCTTGCTTACTTGAAGATAAGAAGTTACCTTTAGGGAAGATTGCACCATTAGAATGGAAACAAAAATTAGATTAAGAGCAAAAATCAAAGCAAAACTAACACACCCTTTAAGTTTCACCCCACTTTTCTCTGAACTACCTTTTAACCATATTGAAGTTAACTAGTCATTATTCCATACTACTCAGCAGCTACTAAATTATAATAGAAACAATAATTTCAATTCTTAACATAATATATTTTCTTTCTTTCTCACTTATGTAAAACTTGTGATAATAGCTTTAGTATCCTATTGCCCTTTAAAAAACAGTAAGTTAGGCCTAATGATCTAGTAACAAGTCTAATCTTGTAACTTTAGACCTAGTTGAACCTGCAATAATAAAACCTAAAAGTGTCCAGTCCTGGCAAATCTAACTAAAATACAGTAAAATAACTGCTCTAAACTTTATTAATGTAAAAAAAGAATGCTTCTCTTCTCCAGGAGAAAGGTTTAAATAACAAACACAAGTATTTCTGATTTCTAAGAACTGAAAAATGTTCTCTCCATACTTTCAACAACTCACTTATAGTCACTCAGTTTACAGACAGATGATTAAGTCATTATGAGTCTTAGGATTGTTTCTTTGCTGTTTCTTACAAGAACTAACAACTGTTGCTTTGGTTTTGGAAGACTTAAGTGAATTTTATCATGAATTCTTATTATATACTGCTTTATTGTCATTTAATGATGTAAATGACAAATTGCTCTGCTCCTTAAAGACAGTTATGCAAGCCTAATCCTTTATTTCTTAAATCTACCTTGATGTTGTTGACGAATCAGTTTATGTGAATTAATTTGTATGACAAGCGCAATGATAATATATTACTTTATATTTTACAATTTGCTTGTTATTCTATACACTTATGGGCATACAAATTTTAAAATATACTGTGTAAGATATTATTGGGTAATGATTTTACACTGACAGCATCAGTTAGGATAGAAGGTTGATTTATTGAAACTGCATTTTAAAAATTGAAAACATCTAATTTTGAATAATATAATATTTAAAATATTTAGAACACATTTCAAACTGTGCAATATTTTTTGTTTTTTGTTTTGCTTTATTGTTGAAGTATTGTAAAGGCAAGTGAAATAGTGGCTTTTTTTAAATACAGTAAGAATTTCAAAATGTGACAGCTGCTCATTGTATGAGATTATAAAAGATTATAAATGCATTGCATTTTATGTTAAGTGTTACTTTTGCTTGCTATTATTAAATGTACTTGTATGCTTCTTTTTTTTTTCAGAGAATAAAATTCAGTTGTACTGATAGTACAATGTCATCTTCTAACCAAAGAATGAAGACTTTATTTGGAGATTTAGGTAAACCTACCCTTCGAGGAATCCGTAAATGTCCTAAATGTGGCACATATAATGGAACCCGTAGACTGACTTGTAAAAACAAGACTTGTGATGTAGTTTATCGTGATAGTGGAGAACATAAGAAATCTTCAAGACCTGATGCAGTGAGAATCATCACAGGATCTACAGACCAGTTGTATTCTGTGCGTGTTCGGGACAGAGGCCCAGACTACAGGAGGTTTGTTCAGCTACCCCTGATTGATGCCATAGGTAACTCTGACATCTTAAAGCAGGGGCCTGCCCATTGCTATGTTGAAACATGTGTTAAATCAGCCCAACAGCAGGAATTGAACTTGAACCCTTGCCATCACATCAAGGCTGCTGTGAACTGTCTTACAGAAGGTCAGCCTTTAACTTTAAAAAATTCTGTTCTGAATGCATTGCCTATATCAACAGAAATCAAACAGTCAATTTGGTTACTAGCCACAGAAACTGCTGGGCCTTTAGTACAAAGGGTGTCCAAAAATACAATGGTAGTAAAATGTAAGACAAGTACAAAGCAACCTTTAGGATTCCTCCATTTTTCATTTTTTGGAATGTCCAGAACAAGGGATGCACAAGATCGACGTTTTCAATGTAGCTGTAAAACTTTTAAGGTAAATTTTAAATCACTTTTGGTATAATCTTGTTAATTTTTTTTATACCTTGTTATAATATTTGCAAATTGATATGTTTAAAGAAGAAAATCTCTACTTATCACATTACCAACCATTTTATTACATTATACACAACCACAGAACTTGTATCAGGTCAGTATACTTCAATAACGTTCACCACAAATATCATGAATTAAGAGTGTACTATAGGAGCTTAGTTAAAGAAGCCACATGAGAAATATACCACACGTTAAATTCAACTAAAAATATCATTCACAAAATTTATTCTTCTCAAGCATTTCAATGTCCAAGCAAATAAATAAAAATGGGCTCAGCTTGGCCCAGTTGTTTGCAGGCTGGACTATTTATATGCGGGTATATCTTTCACATCCCAAAACAAATTGCACTCCATACTTTAGGGATATGGATGCATTACAAGGGTGATGATCCTACCCTTCAAATCTGTTAGTTCAAAATTAGGAATAGCTAACACAGATAACCCTTCAGTAGCTATACATAATGTCCAAAAACAAACAAAACAAAAATAATTATCAAAGATTTTAATTTTTAATCCAACATATATTAAATGTAAGTAAAAAATTTAATGTTGTAAATGCTTAAATCACTATGTATACATGTATGTTAGGGTGGTCCTTACTTGCAGCTAAAATTTCTAAAGCTCTCATCCCCTAATTTTGTTCAATATACAAAAAAATAAACCATCAAATGTCAAACTTTTTCATTTTCGACCACATTTAGATAGAGCTTTAACAATGTGTAAAAAAAATAGTACATTTATATTTTTTTATATATTTAAGTTGCTAGAGATATGGTTGATTATTGATTATTTTTGTGACATTACTTGATTAATTGATTAGTTAATGGGATACTCATTGATGTAATCACAACTCTTATGTAATTGACTAAATATCTTGTTTCTAATTTATGATTGCATAACTGTATTACTTAATGTTCTATAAGCAGGTACATATCTGGGGGAGGGGCTAAAGTTAAGGCCCCCATCCATTTTTTGTTCAAGATATTAATTGTATTTTTTTGTTATATAATCAGGCACAGGCAGTGGAAGGGCCCAGGGAGTGAGCCCATACAATTTTTTCAGAAACTAATAAAACAGCCGTATAGTACCAAAAAATATATTGGATGTCATTGTTTCTATTTGACTGATTTGTTAATTATAATAACAAAAATTCAGCTTTTTGAAGTCAAATAGCTGGAGTTTACAGTAATCCAAATAACCAATTATTTGTAAAGGCATACAACAATATGAATATCAATTAAATGTTACCATAGTAAATTTTTTGTGCCTTAGATTTTCCAGACACTAACAGTATGTATGCTCTAGACTTCAGACCATCATTTTCATCAAAGTTAGTATTGCTTAAGAAATCTGCAGCTCTTGTAACATATACTTATTAAAAAATTGATTTTTTATTCTTTGTAAATTATAATATTCATGAGAAAGATGATATTGTATTGTTGGTGTCAAAAATAAGCAAAAATGTAAGTGCTATGACCTAGCAATGACAATTAAAAGATTTAAAATGGGTAGCCTGTTTATGAACACTAAAATATAAATTTTTGTGTAGACCATAATTTTTTTTTAATGATTATAACTATTTAAATTAAATTACAAAATTTGAAATATTTATCTCTGTTTTATTTTCATATCAATCACATTACTAGAAATAATGATTCAAGCTTTGAAATTTTTGGATTATAACTCAGTTGAGCTACTCATAATGATTTTGTTAGCTTTCCAATTTATTTTCTTATTAAGTTACAAGTACTCTACAGTTATAAAGGGGAACAAACCAGCAAAAGTAATGTAAATTTATCAGTATTGCTTGAGTAGAGGTCTAGTTGTTCACCCCTGTCTTACAATATCCTGGATTGTTTCTGTTTTGAATAGTAGTTTCTCAAAATATGAATCCCTAGCAATGTTTAACATAAATGAAAAGATGCATGAATAGTATGTTTGAATAATGTTCAACATAAGTACTCAATTTAGTGTATTTTGACATTTTTATTTTAATGAATATCAGTATTGTTCATACAATGTAGTATTTATTTTTGCATGTGCTTTTAAAAATTATTTTATTTCCAACAATGAAAGGAGTATTCAACTAACTTACGTATAATGTAGGCCTTTTGTCCAAACTGGTATTTTTGTTAATGTTTTATTGTTGATGTTTTTCAGATGATAAAGTTTATTAATATTACCTATTTGAAAAAAAATTTATTTGAAAATGTTATGAAGTAATATTTTTATTTTCATCTTATTATTTTCAGGTTTTTACAAGTTTAGTACAACTTTGCATGTATGATCCATTTTCATGTATAACAGTTTAGGATGAACAAAATAACTTACTCCTAAATTATTGTATTTGAAGACAGGATTTTCTCTCACTTTTCGTATACTTTCACTAAACATTTTGTATGATACTTATAAGTATTTTAACCCCAAAGTATTTTAGAATTGATATTTTGTCATATTCTGACACTCATTTAATGTAATTCAAGAAGAAAAAAGTTACTATTTCCATTTTTGCACAGTTGCAAAGAATTTTGCCTGTAAACAAAACAACCTATTCATTTTTCTTTCTTTTTTCCAGCCATCCTATAGATAAATGTTATTTTTAATAAAAACCTATCATCCCTTGAAAATATGTTATACATTTCTTGATTTTTCAGCATTTTTCTTGGTTTTTGCACAGGCCTTTATCTGAAACCTTGCTATGGTACCACATCAAGTGGTTTCATTATTTACTAATTAAACACAACCTTGACAACAGCTTTTTTTATTAAAACACAGGTTTTTTGTTTGTACTTGGTTACATTGTCACTTGGAATAGTCTGTTATTTCAGAAACAGCTTTTTTTAAAAGCTTTCTATATAAGTACCTTGTTCTGGCAGGCTCCATCCAATTATAATTCAAGTTTGTGCAATTGCAAAAGGGAAATGTGGGGATAATCCTGTGAACCCTCTGCCTGCGACTGCAGTGAGAGGCAGGCAGTACAACACCTCCTCATTTGCCCATAACTCCAAGCCCCATGTACAGCAAAAAACTTTGCTGTAGCCAGTAAACATTCAGATGTGCACAGCACTGGATGAAATCCATATAGGATAGGTGGACATGACAATAAAAAGCAGATGATGATAGCTGAAACTTTATGTTTCCTGTCATGGGAGTTGTACCCAGATGCTGCCACAAGAAAAGAAAAGGAATACAAACTATGTAATATAGTTTGTTTCTCAATCTAAAGTGTAAATAAACTACCTGCAAAGTTTTCTTATTATTTAGCTTTTAATATTTACCATTTTACCTTTTTAGACACCCCAAAACACAAGCGAAATTCAAAGTCTTTTGTAGACAAAAAATCAGACTTTTTAATTAAGTATTTTTACTAAAACTTGTCAGTAATTATATGGTGTCAGAATGTTTACTGTTCTGAATGCAAAGTGATTTTCTTGTTAAGAATAAAAATACTTCATCTGAAATTTTTCAAATTTTGTTTGCATAATCCCTAAAACTTCCTAAACAAACATCAAGTGTGTTTTGTTTTCAGAAAAACTTTATATTTTATCTGTTATTTTCTATATTATAACTATACAGGGTTGGTTGATTTGAATGACTTAGGTAACCATAAAAGAATTGGGAAATAATTCTAAACTGTCTTTTTTTTTCTGAAATTTTTCTGCAAATTGTAACAGGAAACCACAGTTGTTTATCCTAAATAGCTTAAAGTTTGTAAGAGTATACATCTATCTATACTTAATTTTATTGTTTTATTGCCCTTTGAACTGTGCCTAACTCATAATCTTGCCATACAAGTTGTACATCACTTGTGAACATGTAGCTCATGTTGCCCTATCAAATTACTTAATGCATAGGCTGCTCATGAGCATACCTCGTGAAAAATGATTGTATTATTATTATTATTATTTATTATGAGTAATCTAACCTTATATGTTTTAGAATTTTTAAATTTAGCTATTTGTGTAATAACAGATAAAGAATACACATGAAAAACAGGAAATATAGTACTTATCTGGGTCTTCTTTTTTTTCATTTTTTTGCTGTCTACTGTTGATGAGACTTAACCCTATCTTTTTGTACTAATGGTACTACTAAAATAAATATGTTTTTATTTAATTAAATAATGCACCTAAAAACACAGAGTAATAACAAATAAATACCAGACATTGTCCAATACCTATCACATTAAAAATTGAGCTAAACTCTTTGATGTGTTTCCTGTGGGAATAAAGTTTGAATTGGAAGGAACATAGACAATTCTTTGTATAGAAAACAACATAATATGATACATCATTTGATAGATTAAAACTTTGGCTTTTTATTGGTTATAAATAATGTAGTATTAAATATCGGAGAGAACTATTGCCAATTTGTGAAATAGAGGATGAGGCAGGTGTCTGATTTTCTAGTTTATGGCTCTGAAACCAAATAAGATTGAAGGCTATAAAAATTATGCTTTGCCTGAATAACATCTCTGTTATAATAAGTAATTTAATTCTCAAAGAGATGTTGAATAAATCAGAGAAGAGGGAAGACAGAGAGAGCAAATGCCACAGTTGTCAGGAGATTGAGGATTTTTTATAAATATTTCCTTATAAAATTAATTAATCTTAACATTTTCTTTATTAACTATGTTTTGATGTCAAATTTATTCATATACATTGATGATGATGTAGTGTAATTAAATCTTGAATGTAACTTTTTAATAGGTTGTTACATGTGCACTTTGACCTACCTGGTGCAAAAGGTTTAAATGATAGAAATGTTGTTGAGATGCTAAAGCAGCCATTTAGCTTTATGATTTATGGAAGTAATAACACTGGGTTATCTAAAATGTACCCTATTGCTGTTTGTATATTTGATGTCAACTACAACAGAATAATGACTTATTTGCTTTGACATGAACTTAATTGAAGAGCCAGATGCATCAAAGGCTTGCAGC